TCCGAACCCGTGGCCTTGGTGTTATCAGCACCACACTCTCCCGAGTGAGCCATGGGCTGGCTTGATTGTAATTTCTTAACCTGGCATAGTTTTTTGTGACCCTTTGCATATGCTTCTACAGGCACGCAGTGGCATTACTTGGATTACTAGTCAAGAGCATCTGTTTTATTCATTGCTTGGTATTTTCTCTATACAGGCTACTAAAAGGCAATAGTTATTGTTAAATGTTCCCTGTTGAGTCCAGTTTGTGCAGTGCAAAGAGACGAATGGTAGGCCTGTTCATGAAAAACACTTCAGAAGGGAAAGTAGGTGTCTCCAGTAGGGGAGGAAGTTGTTACATGCTGGAATTTTTGTAGACCAATTATTTACAAGTAGAAGATACCAAATTTTGAGTTCTTGGAATCAGTCCTGAAATTTGCTCTACAAGCTAGTGTTTTGTTTTTTTTTTCCTTGCCCCGTGAAATTACGTTAGCGATTAATTCATTTGGTTGTTTTTAGTACTGTGTGCTCACTGTCCAGGTACAGTACATAAGCCAGTTAGAAGAAAGCACACAGTAGATGGAATTTGGTGCTCATTGTACGTTCACTGATGTCTGCTCAGTGTACTGAGCTTTTCTCAATATGGTGTGCTACTGTTTGACGTGTATTCTCAGAAGTAGATAATGTTCCTATTTACAAATGAGGTAGTGGAATTTGGGAGGACATGCTTAATTGATTAGAATCTGATGAATACACATAGTAGTTTTGAGGTCAGGACTATCTTTTGACTCAGGTATGAGTAATCTGTCAACCTGTCTGTTCCTGGGTTAATGCTCAGTATCAGGCTGATAATCCTCTTTACTATTCTTTGCACTTGGCTGTATGACAACCCTACATAGTAAAAATCTGCAGTGAATTGTAGTTGGGCCCAAAGTGATATGTGTGAGGACTATGGCTGAAATCACTACTGTTAAGTTTCAGCTTTTGAATAGTGAAATAACTTATGGAGGTAGCCAGTTAACACCTTTTGAGATTCCAGAAAAAGTTTCTAAAGTCTAAACTTTTCACGCATGAAAAACCCTAGAGAATTACATAATGAGATAAAAATTCTAGGTAAATGTGTCTTGTGAAAACCAGGGGAGTACTAAAACAAAAGAATTTTTAGAATGGAATCTGGAAACTTCGTTCTCTTAAGCAAATGGGAAGTCTCACTTAGCTATCAGGAACAGTGAGTGAGTGCTTAAACAGTGCCAAAACTCTTGCACTTCTTATCGACAGTCTAGAATCTGAGAGGAAATATATGAAAATTTGCAAATATATCAAGGGCCTGCTAAATGCTAAGAAGCAAGCATGGCCCCAAATCAAGGAATTTCTCAACCCTAAAACGGGGGGGGGGTATCATATACCCTATTTACAGGTGAAGAAACCCACTGTTAGGCAGCAGATGGAGGAGACGTGGACTTTGTCAGGTAGACTAAATCCAGTGCTCTTTAATCACCGTGCTGTGTGTGTGATACATACGATAAATGAGAGCAGTTAATTTTGCCAGCAATTGTAGAAGTTAAAGGCTTGGCATTAGCAGAAATAAAGGGGTGAAAGAGAACGTTAGGAATGAGGGAACAGATTTTAGGAATTGCAGGAAAAGCCTGTGTGCAATAAAAGCCATGCTGCCCACCACCTGCTTGGCCTTTAACTCCTCTCTTTCACCTGCTTCATAAACTCCTTTTGCCTCTTTCTCCAAAAGTGCACCCAAAACATTCCACTTAGCACTTCTACCATACTAGTCCAAAGGGCTAGTCTCTCTGCCCAGACTCTTGCAATTATGTCTGGATCCACCCACTCTTATTCCCCCCAGCCTCTTCTCCACACAGCCCCTAGAGAAATGCTTCTAAAACGTAAATTGGGGCCGGCCCGGTGGCGCACTGCTACAGTGCGCCGCTTGGGAGTGCGGCGGCGCTCCCGCCGAGGGTTCAGATCCCCCATACAGACCCATACAGACCGG